CGATTGCTCTGCAGCGAGAGAGACACTAGCGCGGAGTTCGACGCCAGCGCCGACGCGATGGCCACCACACCCGCGTCACCTATCTTGTTGCGGCCCAGGTCCAGCTCGCGCAGCTTGCAGCGCGGCTCCTTCAACAGCTTCGCGAGGTGCTGCGCTCCTTCGTCGCGGATACCGCAGCGAGCCAGATCGAGGAGCTGCAGCTGGCACGCCGAGTCCTCGTCGACGAGCGCGGTCGCAAACTCCTTCGCGCTCGGGCAGCCGAGGTGCGCGCCCTCGGACAGGTGGAGCCCCCGCAGAGTGTCGTTGCGCCGAAGACCCCGGGCGATCCTGCGCACGCCCCGGTGCGTCAGAGAGCTGCCGGGCAGACTGAGGGTCACCAGCGATCTGTTGCGTGCCAGCATCTGCCCGATCGCAGCGGCATGCTCGTCGCCGATCCCGCAGCCATGCAGGTGCAGCGCACGCAGCCCTGTGCTCGCCTCCAGCGCCGTCGCGATGCTCGGCACGTCGATGATGCCGGGGGAGCCGCAGGCGCTGATGCTGACCTCCTGCAGCGCCTGGTTACTCGTCAGCGCTGCAGCCAGCCCCAGCGGGCCAGACCCGACGTCGACAGATCCCCCACCGCTGTCGGCGTCGCTCGCCGCGTCGTCATGCGCGGTGTTTCCAGGTAACGCCACCCCTGCTGTCGCGCTTTGGGCCTTCGTCCATCCGCACTCGAAGATCTCGACGGTGCTGCGCGCCAGGGCCGTGAGTATCGCGGCGCGCGTGGCCTCAGGGAAGACCGCGTAGCGAAGATGCACCCTTCGCAGCACTTTGCTCCGTCGCATCAGTTTGGCCACCTCTGCCAGCTCGCCGTCTGGATCCTGATCGCAATCCAGACGCAGCGCACGTAGGTGCGTCGCACGAGTCCAGCCAAAGTCGAGATCGCTGTTCTTTATTTCGATCACCTCCAAGCAGCGCGGCGGGCAAATGCCCTGCTCCGGGCACGCCGCAGGGTCCAGAGAGACGTCTGTCATCTTCAGCTGCCGCAGCTGCACGGCTTGAGTTAGCATGCGGTAGAACGCGCGCGTGCCCTCTTCGTCGAGAGATGCGTCCCAGAGCGCGAGGTGCGTCAGCGCGCCGAGCTCATCGATCAAGGGAGCCCACACCGCGCCGGGCCCCCGCACGCCCGTCAGGTCGAGCTGCTTGAGCGCCGCGAGGCCCCGCGTGGCGTCCACCAGCGCCGCGAGGTACCCCTCGCCCGCGCTGAAGTTCGACAGGTCCAGGTCCAGGAACCTCAAGCGCTCCCGGACCTGCGGCGACAGGAGGATCTGCTGGAGCGACAGCGCCTGCGGAACCTGCTCGACGCCGCTGCCGCGGAATGCGGGGGCGGCGAGCTCCGTCAGGCGCAGCCCTTCCTCCCCCGCCAGATGCCACAGCAGATGCAGCCATTTGCAGTGCCTGGTGCCCGGCTCGTCTCCTCGCGCGGGGAGGTCCTCGCCCAGCTCCCGCATGACCGCGAGGAGCGTCCCCGCGCACGTCGCCGGCACGCCAACGACGCCCGCGTAGGAAAGTTGACCCTCGCACGGCCCCTCCTCCATCCGCCGCGCCAGCACCTGCAGCACCGGGTCGTCCGGGTGCACCCTCAGCGCCGCCCTGCACCCGCGCAGCACCGCCTCCAGCGTGCTCCATCGCGTCGCCGCCAGGCGCGCCTTGTCTTGGTCCGAGAGCCTGTCCAGCACGCTCGGCACCTCGCGCAACACGTGGTCGAGCAGGTCACGCGGTCGTCCGCGACGCCTCTGCGATGGCGGGAGCACCAGCGCGGGACGTGTCAGAGCACAGCAGCCAGGCGCAGCTGGCAGCCCCCGTGCACTGGAGCGTGTCCCCTCAACTACGTGCTGCGCCCACCCGCGCGCAGGCGATCGGAGCGATGCGTCCGGGCATCTTCTCACCATCTTCGTCCTCGCTGGTACAGATTGACGACGTGGAACGGCAGGGCCCGGGCACGGGGCGCGCTTCTCGTGCTGCCCAGCGTGCGGCCCAGCTCGGCTCACGCGACGGCCGTTGGAGCGGGCGCGCTGATCGCGCCGCCGCCTCGGGGCCGCCCGAACACACCAGGAGCGCGACCTACTGCCCGGTGATATCTCGCCCGTTCGACGCGCGCCGCACCAACTCTCCCGGCCCTGCAAAGCACGCGACAGGGCTGGCGCAGCGCGTGAGTGTGGCGTTGCGGTGCTCCGACGGGCCCTTGTGTTGACAACGACATCGTCCGCGCGGCGTCTTCGCGCGTCCAAGCTGCCTCTGCCCCGCAACATGCTGCCCCAAGAGCGCACCTTAACGACAACGCGCTGCACGGACCTCTCGAGGCCTGCGATCTGGCTTTTCGACGCCTGGCTGAACCGAACTGCGAGTGACGGTGCTTGCACGCACCAAAAGATAGCCGACCAGGGCGCGGGAGCCCCTCCGAGCGAGGTCGGGGGCCTGAGTGCGGGCGCCCACACACAGTCACCCCTAGAGGCCAGGCACGGACCCGCGGTCCGCGGCGCTGCACGGCGGCCGACAGCGCCGGGGCCGCGGGCGCGGTCGAGCGCGCCGCAGCGCAGCGCGAGCCCTGCGGCGGCCTGCAGTCGCCCGCACGTCGCAAAGGACGCCTCTGGCTGCTCACGCAGGCCTGCTGCGATGGGCGGGGGCCTGGCGCACCGCAGCTGAGAGGCGCGCCGCTCGCGGCGTGCATCAGGTCCGCGCCGCCCCGCTGGAGCGGAGAGCATGACGAACACGCGCGCAGTGCGCTGGTCGGGGCGAGACGCGCGCGCAGGGCGCCCGTCATGCCCCGACGCGACCAGGACCCGCGCGGCGACGGATCGCGGTCCTGCGCGGGCCCCTGGTCCCCAGGCGCGGGTGCCGCGGGTCCGTCCGCGCCACACCAAGGTGGTCGCGATGGAGGGTCGACTCTGCGCCTTCCGTGGCGGTGGGCGCGGCCGAGGTGCCGCCCGGCAGCGACGGTGTGGTCGTCTCGCGGGCCCGGGGGGGCACTCATGCGCGGGAGCGAAGCCCCATCCCCGTGGCACGTGTCGCAGTGTGGCTGTGCGCGGGCCAGTGGCATCGGAGCTGCCCCGGCCGCTCCGGGGGCCCAGGCGCGAGGTGTCGCGATTCCCGCTCGGCCGGCGTGAGATACATAGCTGGCGATCCTGACCGGCGGACGAAAACCCGACGGCACCTCCGCGAGCGCGGCATTTCCGGGACGGAAGCACGTCCCGCGGTCCTCTCTCCCGGGTCAGCGGGAACGACTGCGGGCGTCCGTCGCGCTGCAACCTGGGCACGACGCGACTCATGACATCTGCGTCCCACTGGGCGTCGGCACGGTCACAATGTGCGGCCTCCACTCGCCGCGGCTCGTGCAGTGTGCCAGCAAATGCACACGTGCCGCCCCACTGCCGCCGTCGCGACGACCGCCGTCGCAAGCAGCGCGTCGTCGCCGCCCGTTGCTAGCCTAGTCGTCGTCGTCGGCTGCTCCGGGCCGCGCATGCACATGCGTGCGCTCGCACTGAGCATGAAGCAAAAACAGGCCACGGAGCACGTCGCCGAACGTGCTCAGGCGCCGAAACCGGGAGAGCGAACGCCGCATCGTATGCGTGGACTGCACGGCAATGGCAACTACGGCGCAAGACCCGCCGCCACGCGCTCGCACGGAGCCGCGCCCACGTGCCACACGCGGGCGGCTCGAGCGGCCGCGCGCGGGCCGCCGCTGCGTCCCTGTGCGCGAGGCCGCGTCGGGGCCGAAGAATGTGACCCCGTCCGGCGTTCGCGCCCGAGGACGCGCAGGGTTGGCCCCGCGGCGCGTGGGCACGCGCGCCTAGAAACTGCGCAGGCGCGCGCGCGCGAGCCGCAGGTGGCCGACGGACGCACCCAGCGGACGGGGCGCCCGCCGATGCCGCCTGACCGAGCCCCGCCTCGCCGCCCGGAGCGCGCAGCGGCGCGGTGCGCCCGGGGCTGTGCGGGCGCGCGCGGGGTCAACGCGGCGCAGGCGGCAGGCCACGCGAGCCTCGCCGCGGGGCGCGCGCCACGGGCGCCGCGGGGTCCCCGGAACGCCGCGATCTGGGTCCGCGCGCGCCCCGCGACCCCGTAGAGGTCCGCGGCGCGGCCAGATTCCCCCGGCCGTTGGTTTCTGGCCAACGACTGCGGAGCGCGCACACCCCACTCCACCGCTCGCCCGGGGCGCGCGCGGGCAGGTGGGGGCGGGCGGCGCGCGGCCGCGGGCAGAAAGTCGCTCTGGCGACCTACAGGTAGGCTTCTTCGGAGCGACAGACGGCAACTGAGGGGCTGCGGACAGGCGTTCGCCATGCAGCCCTCTCAGGCCTGGGCCGCTGCCCTCGTGGCGGTGTTAGCCCTCGCCTCGCTCTTCGGGGCGTATGCAGACCCTAAGCTACTGAACAAGAAGGTGCGGGACCGGCCGCCCGCGGTGCAAGTCGCGCGCGCGGCGCGCGCGGCGCGGGCCTGGAGCTTTTGGATGGCCGCTGGATCCACCGGCCCCCCGCGATCGCGTGCGGGCCAGTTTCCCCGGCCACCGCCAGGACCGATGAGAATCGCTTTTGCCCAGCGGCGTGGCGCCCTGCTGCGGCGGTTATGCGGGCAACAATCGAAATCCGGGGCTGCCTGGGCTGTTGACCCTGGCACCGCCGCGCGCGGCCGCCGGGCACCCACCACGCTCGCAGCCGCGCTTCGCGGAAGACCCAGATCTGGGTTTGCCTGCTGCGCGCGCCCGTGCACCCTCGGGAGTGCGCACGGGACGCGGGTTCCAGCTTGGAGGCTTCCCTCCGAGTCGGTCCCGTTGCCGCGCTCGCTGGGCTTCTTTCCGTGTGCGAGCGCGGCGGTGGAACGCCCACATCGTGCTTACGCGTCTCGCGGCGCGGCCGTCGCTCGGCGCCCGCGCAACACGCGTCTCTGCCCCGTTTTGACCGCAGGCCGAGGCCCTCTCGAGTCCTTACATAGCGAGCTCCTTCGGTTCGGACTCGCACATCGCAAGGATGGTGAAGGTCATTCGCTCCCTCGCGGACAAGCACCCAGGCACGCGGCCCTTCCAGCTCATCAGGGGCACCCCACCGACCCGCTGCCAAGCTGCCTCCCTTGGCGCTCCCCCGGGGCGCCCGCTGGCCCGCGGTGACGCTCCACGGGCGGGCATTTTTCCCCTCCGCTCCCTGCGCGCGTTGGTCGCCCTGTGCGCGGCCTGCGCGGCGCGTGCGCGTCGGGGCCGCTGCCTCGCGACCTGGGCGCCCGAACCCTGCTCGGTCCCTGCTTGGCGCGGCCTCTCGCGACACTTTGTGGCGGCAAATCAACTATGCGGGGCAGACTTCCCACCGAACCCGCTTTTTCCTGCGACCGGCTCGCGGGGGCTGCTCGTTAGGTGTGGAAGCGCTTTTCCACCGCGGCGCCCCTCCCCCGACGGCCGCACCCAGCGGCGATCCTCGCCGCGGAGCACGCGGTCGACGATGCTCGGGCCCCCGTGCACTGCGCGCAGGCGGAATCGGCACCGCGTACCTCCAGACGGAGCAGGGGCCCGTGGAGGTGCCAGAGGCGGGCGCGAAGAAGCTCCGTGAGCTGCTGCAGGTGCGCGGCGCCGCCCGCGCGGACGTCCCGCTCGGCCACCCGGCGCCCCACCTGCGTCCCCACCACCCCCCGCCGCCCCGCCCGCGCTGCTGCCTCGGTGCCATGCCTCGCCCGACGCGCCCCCCCTGGCCGGCCCCGCGCTCCCGCAGTCCGCGCAAGCGAACCTCCCGGCCAACTTCCAGAACCTGGTGGACCTGCTGCCGTCGGTGGACCTCAGCGGCCCGTCGTGCAACACGATGTTCGACGGCGCGGAGTGCCTCCCGTCGGCGGCCAAGGTCTTCGAGACCAAGGGCGCCGCGGACGCCTCGCCGACGGACAGCACGGGGATCTACATCAGCCAGGCGCTGACGGACCTCACGCTGATCGAGGCGGTGTGCGACCAGGTCGGCAAGCTCGACCGCGACGCGGGGACCACCTCGCTGTGCGACGAGTTCCAGGCCGCGGGCCTGTGCCGCCGCGTGCGCGGGAACGACCCGCTCGTCGGCGGCGACTACGCCAACCTGGGCGGCTACGACTACAACGAGACGCTCCACCGGCAGGCGTTCGAGGAGGCCAACCGCACGCTGCCGGACGACCCCACCATCGTCGCCTTCCGCCTGCGGTTCGAGGTGCGGCGCCCGCCCGCGCAGCAGACGCGCGCGCGCGCGACCCGACGCGCCGCCCGCCCGGACGACGTCTGTGCGCCCCACGCGCCGCTCTTGTTGTTGTCGTCGTTGTCGCCCACGCTCCCCCCGTCCCCTCGCCCGCGACGCAGATGGAGCGCGAGCCCGTGTGCCAGGACCTCCAGGACCAAGGCCAGTGCCCCTTCACGGCCGTGAAGACCAAGGTGGAGCGCAAGCGCGACCACAGCGCGATGGCTGGGTGGAAGTACGTGCCCTCGTGGGCCGTCAAGCCCCGCTTCTGCACCTGCCGCGTCGAGGGCGAGAACGGCATGCCAGACAAGTTCTACTCGGGCAAGGACGAGGTCGCCGTTCAGTCGTGCGACCAGATCATGCTCACGAAGGACGGCTTCCAGTGGAACGGCGACTACCACCTGCGCGGGTGCTCCATCAAGCACAAGCCCGCCATGGGGTCCGGCTCCGGCATGGGCTCGGGCTCCGGCTCCGGCATGGGCTCGGGCTCCGGCATGGGCTCCGGCTCCGGCATGGGCTCGGGCTCCGGCATGGGCTGCTCCGGGCCCGGCTCCGGCATGGCTCCGGCTCCGGCTCCGGCTCTGTCCGGCTCTGGCTGCGCTCGCCCGGCTCAGCTCCGGCTCCGGCTCCGGCTCCGGCTCCGGCTCCGGCTCTGTCAGGCGGCTGCAGCCGGGCTCGGGCTCCGGCATGGGCTCCGGCTCCGGCATGGGCTCTGGATCTTCGTCGATGGACAACTGGATGATGGCCGAGGCGGACTGCTTCTGCGACGACCTGTGCGAGGTGGAGATCGAGGAGGACTGGTTCGTGGACTTCGTCCCGGACACTCCCGAGACCATCTGCCGGGAGCGCGAGGAGCCCTTCCTGCGCGTCGTCAAGGCCAAGGACTCGGACAGGCTGGTGCCCATCGTCCCGGAGGGGTCGGTCGGGCCCAGCGACTGCGTGTGCAGCAACCCGACCGACCCGTCGGCGCCGCTGCTCACCCCCAAGCAGATGCTGGAGATCGAGAGCTGCGGCGGCTTCCGCGTGCCCTTCATGTACGGGGAGCCGATGTTCGGCGACGGCGTTGCCACGATGTGCAACGTCACGATCCCCACGCCGGGGACGCCGACGAACATGACCAAGTACAGCGGCTACGAGTGCCGCTGCAACGGCCTCTGCGGCGTGGAGTACATCGACTCGGCGGTGAAGATGCCCATCGTCACGCTCCCAGACATCACCCCCGCGGCGTCAACGATGCCTGCGGGCACGCCCCCTAACGCGACGGTGGCCCCGTCGTCGCGACGAACCCTGACGCACGCCCACCCCGACGGGACGGCGGCGGGCGGCAACATGTGCCCCTGCGCTTGCTCGGGTGGTGGTGGCTCCGGCATGGGCGGCGGCTCCGGCATGGGCGGCCGCATGGGTGCGGCTCCGGCATGGGCGGCGGCTCCGGCATGGGCTCCGGCATGGCCCGGCTCCGGTTCCGCATGGGCTCCGGCTCCTGCATGGGCTCCCGCGGCTCGGCCCTGCAGTGCCCGGCCCCGCATGGGGCCCGCCTGCCTGGCCTTGCAGCATGGGCTCGCCTGCCCGGGTTCTGCATGGGTTCCGGCTCCGGGTTTCGTCAGGCGGCTGCAGCCGGGCTCGGCTCTGGCTCTGGCTCGGGTTCGCATGGGCCCGGGTTCATGGGCAGCCCAGGCCCCGGCTCCGGTGTGGCTTGCCCGCATGGGCTCCGGCTCCGGCATGGGCGGCTCCGGCATGGGCTCCGGCTCCGGCATGGGCGGCTCCGGCATGGGCTCGGGCTCCGGCATGGGTGGCGGTGGGCAGTGCATGTGCCCCTGCGCGGATCAGGGCGAGCCCGAGAAGTACACCTGGTGGCTGCGCCCCCCGAACGCCGCCGAGAAGTGCGCCGCGACGGGGTTCCCCGTCATCGCTGTCGGCCAGGAGGAGGGTGTCTCTTTCGCCGTGTGGGACTGGGAGAACCCGCCCAAGGACTGCACCTGCACCCCGGGCTCGACCACGCCCTTCACCGACGTCTTTTTGGCGAGCTTCGGCACCAACGTGAACATTTCGACGGACGGCGTGCGTCCGAATGGCGACCTGTCGTTCGAGGCCCAGTTCCAGGGCGACAGCACACAGGGCCAGAAGCTGGAGGGGCGCTGCATGTGCAAGGGCATCTGCGCCGCCGCCATCGACGAGGGCATCCTGACCGGCCCGCGCTCGAGTGACGGCGCGATCGTCGAGTTCCCGCGCGGCCCCATCCAGGAGTGCCTGCTCAAGGACGAGCCCGTGGTGACGCTCAAGCGCATGATGCCGCCCAACCAGACGGAGTTCGTCTACATGTACGAGCCCGTCGACGAGCCCGCGCCGAGCAAGCGCCCCATGTGCAAGTGCATGCAGCCCCCGGGCTTCATGTTCCCGCCCGCGGTGCAGAACCTCATCACGCCGTCGAACCAGCCCAACGTCCGCCAGAAGGACCCGGACGCGCCGTGCATGCTCAACGTCACCACTGACGGCCAGAGCTTCAACGGCGACCTCACGGCCAAGTGCGAGATGGTGGCCGAGATCCGGGTGCCTGGCCCGTCGGCACCAGGCAGCCCGGGCATGTCGCCCGGCGGCATGTCGCCCGGCGGCATGGCCGGCTCTGGCGACGACTCGATGGTCTTCCCGATCGGCGAGTACGACTGCACGTGCGACTTCTGCGCCATCGACTTCCCCCAGCAGTGGTTCCCCAACGAGCCCGTCGTGGCCACGGGCGGGCCCGGGGGCGCCCGCGGGCTGTACGTCAGGCCGCCCACGCCCCCCGAGAAGTGCGAGGAGGACGACAAGACTTACGTCAGGCTGGCCTACCTGCAGGGCAAGATGAGCGACATCGGCTCCGACCCGCGCAACGGGACCACGTTCCCCCCGATCAGCGAGGACGCCCCCGACAACTGCACGTGTACCGCGAGCGTGCCGGGATCCTCCAGCCCCGTCGTCCTGCGCAGGGACGAGTTCCTGTTCTTCAAGTGCTTCGACCTGCAGCTGACCCTCGACAACGTCGCCCTGAACAACGACCTGCTGGCCGACTGCTACATCCGGGACATCCGCGACCTGCAGAACATCGTCATCAGGCCCGCCGTCTGCGACTGCAAGCAGTCCCTGTGTGGCGTCGAGTACAACCCCACATGGGTTGCGTCCGCCGCCCCCCCCCTCCCTGGTGCGGGCATGGGCTCCGGCATGGGCTCGGCTCCGGCATGTGGGCTCCGGCCCGGCATGGGCTCCTGCCCGGCATGGGCTCCGGCATGGCCCGCATGGGCCCGCATGGCCTGGCCCGCATGGGCTCCGGCTCCGGCATGGGCTCCGGCATGGGCTCCGGCATGGGCTCCGGCTCGGGCTCTGGCATGGGCTCCGGCATGGGCTCTGGGTCGGGCTCCGGCTCCGGCTCCGGCTCCGGCATGGGGTCGGGCTCGGGCTCTTCGCGCAGGCTGATGCAGACCGCGACTGGACCCGGCATGGGCCCGGGTGCGCCCGGAATGGGCCCGGCCGGCCCCAATGGCGGGGACATGGACCGCTACGGCTCCTTCCCTGGCCCTGTCAAGGGACCCTTCGTCAATTCGAAGATCGTCTGGCTGAACTACCCCGGGGTGCCCAAGGGCCAGGGTCCCCCCCCCATGATGACCAACTGGAAGCCCCGGCAGCGCCCCGACATGCGCGTGCGGCGCGAGGGTGAACAGGATCCCGGCATGGGCTCGGGCTCCGGCATGGGCTCGGGCTCCGGCATGGGCTCGGGCTCCGGCATGGGCTCGGGTTCCGGCATGGGCCTGCTCCGTATGGGCCTGCTCCGGCATGGCCCTGGCCCGGCATGGCTCCGGCATGGGCCTCGGCCCGCATGCCCTGGCCCGGCATGGGCCTGGCCCGGCATGGGGTTTCAGTCTGCATGGGTCTGCATGGGCTTCCGGCTCCGGCATGGCTCGCTCCGGGTTCCGGCATGGCCGCCCGGCATGGGTCGGGTCTGCCCGCATGGGGTCCGGCTCCGGCTCCGGCTCCTCGCGTCGCGTGCACAGGCGCTTGAAGTCTGGCCACATGACGAACAGTGGCACGTGCGACTGCAGCGGCATGGGCGGCGGTGGCAACATGGGCGGCTCCGGCACATGTTTCTGACATGGGCGGTTCGCATGGGCGGCCTGGCATGGGCGTTCAGCATGGGCGGTCATGGCTGGCGTTCGGCATGGGCGGTAATGGGCGGTTCGGCATGGGCGGCTCGGCATGGGCGGTTCTGGTGACAACGATGGGCGTTTTGGTATGGGCGGTTCCGGTATGGGCGGTTTCTGGTATGGCGGCTCCTGGCATGGCGGCTCTGCATGGGCGGTTTCTGGCATGGCGGTTCCGGCATGGCGGTTCCGCATGGGTGGTCTCGGCATGGCTCGGGCTCTGTCAGGCGGCTGCAGCCGACTGGTGGCTCAGGGTCTGACATGGGCTCTGGCTCCGGCATGGGCTCCGGCTCCGGCATGGGCTCTGGCTCCGGCATGGGCCCTGGCTCCGGCATGGGCCCTGGCTCCGGCATGGGCTCTGGCTCTGACATGGGCGGCTCCGGCATGGGCGGCTCTGACATGGGCGGCGGCATGGGCGGTGGCATGGGCGGCGGTATGGGCGGTGGCATGGGCGGTGGTATGGGCGGTGACTGCGTCTGCCCTGATGACCCGGCCCCTTGCCCCGAGTGCTTCGACAACTTCTGCAAGCCGTTCAAGCACCTTCCCCGATACGAGGAGAAGCTCAAGGAGAAGCTCATGTTCTTCTTCAACCAGCTGCGCAGCGATGGCAACATGCAGAGCGTCATTCCGGAGGTTACCATGGACGACGTGCTTCTCCCACCGCAGTTCACGGCCGGAGACTGCCTGTTCGGCGAGTGCAAGGACGACAGCAGCAGGGACACGTTCGTCGAGTTGACCGTCGGTCTGAACATCGTGCGCCGCGACCGCCTGTGGTACGCCGGCGCCGTGAAGGGCTTCTTCACCAACGCCACGACGGAGGAGAAGCTCGTGCCGCCGCCGACCGTGGAGCTGTTCCGCGACGCCCTGGACGACACGGTGTGGGACGACCCGGTTGCCTTCAGCTTCTTCGGGCCGCCGATCCGCATGCACGTCGACGACCCCATCCTGACCAAGTTCGAGTACCTCCCGTGCAACCAGCGCGTGCGGCAGGACTTCAAGGTCCTGAACCCGAACGACCTGGACGAGGTGATTTTCGAGGAGTCGTTCTTCCTGGAGAACGCGGGGCGCGGCCGCGTGCCCTTCTGCGACCCGTCGCAGACCCCCTTTGGCTGCAACGTGTGCCCAGCCGACTGGTTCGACCAGCAGTTCCTGCACATCGAGGAGGTCACCGCGATCGGCTTCGACGACGAGGGCGGCCTGCCGCCTGCCTGCGCGGCGTGCGAGGAGGAGGGCTGCCCGCCTCCGGACTTCTGGGTCGATGCGGTGTGCGGCCTGCGCGAGCCAGGCGCGGTGTTCAGGTTCGACCTCGACGCCGACTCCTCGACCGGGCTCGGAGTTGAGACCTCGGGGGCCAACCCAGTCTGCTCCTGCCGCCCGCTGGAAGGCTCTTCGGCGGACCTCTTCACTGTCGAGCTGGATGACGACGTGGAGTGCGAGGGCGCGGCCTACACGACCGACGGGAACGGCGACGTCGAGTTCGTCACGGGCACTTGCCGCCTGCGCCGGAACGAGACCTCCGCCTTCGCCGACCACTTGTGCGAGTGCAAGGCCTGTGCAGTGGTGTTCTCGCCGGAGCTGACCGACGCGCGCAACCAGGTCAATGGCGCTGCAGACAACGGCGTGTGGCTGCGGCAGCCCACCACGGCCGATAGGTGCGCCGCGCAGGGCCTGGTCCTGCTGCAGGCAGCCGGCCCCCCCTCTGTCGGCGGCGTCCCGCTCGAAACCAGCGTTGAGCTGGACTACGAGCAGTGCTTCTGCCAGGGCATGCCCCAGGGCTTCCCGGTTGGGGAGCCCACGTCCTTCGTCTGTTCCCAGGCCAACCTCACGCAGAACGCCGAGACCGGCGAGCCCGAGGGCGACGGCGCCCTGACGTGCGCGGTCACCGGCTCCCTCCCGGACGGCACTGAGGCGACGGAGTCGGCCTCGTGCGAATGCTTCAACGTGTGCGGAATCGGGTTCCAGGCCGGCGTCGTGACGGAGAACGCCACGGTCCTGTACTCGCCCGACGTGCGCGTGGACCTGGAGTCGACGCGCGACACGTGCGAGGAGCGCCGCGAGACGTTCGTCATCCTTGAGCAGAGGCCCGAGGGGGCAACGGAACAGATCCGTCGGGAGACTGGCGGTGGTTCCTCTCCGGGATCCGGCTCCGGCTCTGACTCTGGCTCCGGGTCTGGCTCCGGCTTCGGCTCCGGCTCGGGCACTGGCTCTGGCTCCGGCCCTGGCTCCGGGTCTGGCTCCGGGTCTGGCTCCGGCTTCGGCTCTGGGCCTGGGTCTGGCTCCGGCTTCGGCTCCGGCTCGGGCACTGGCTCTGGCTCCGGCCCTGGCTCCGGGTCTGGCTCCGGCTTCGGCTCCGGCTCGGGCACTGGCTCTGGTCTGCCCTGGCTCCGGTCTGTTCCGTCCTGGTTCCGGCTCCGGCCCTTGGTTCCGGCTCCGTCCTGGCTCCGGGTCTGGCCCTGGCTCCGGGTCTGGTTCTCGGCTTCTGGCTCTGGTCGGGTCTGGCTCCGGCTCCTCCGGCCCTGGCTGGTTCCGGCTCCGGCTCCTGCCTGGCCCGGCCCTGGCTTCCGGCTGGCTCGCTCCGCCTGCCCCGCCTGGGCTCCGGGCTCCCCTGGCTCCTGCCCTGGCTCCTGCCTCTGCCCTGGTTCGGGTTCGCCCTGCTCGGTTCCGGCTCCGGCCCTGCCCGGCTCCGGCCCTGGCTCCCGGGCTCTGGCCCTGGTTTCGGCTCTCCCGGCTCCGGCTCCGGCCCTGGCTCGGGCTCCGGCCCTGGCTCTGGCTCCGGCTCCGGCTCCGGCCCTGGCTTCGGCTCGGGCTCTGGCCCCGGCTCCGGCTCCGGCTCCGGCACTGGCTCCGGCCCCGGCTCGGGCTCCGGCCGGCGGTCGCTGTTGGACGGTCATGAAGACGACTGCGATCTCCCCAAATTCGAGTATGCCGTGACGGAGATCCCCAGCTACGTCTACGGCCCCGAGTCGACGTGCGAATGTCTGCACCCGCAGTTCAGGTACTGGGTTCCGGTGCAGGAGATGCAGCAGCAGCCCGACTGCTTCCTGGCCGACGTCTCGAGCGACGGGTTCAACCTCGACCGCTTCGACGGCAACACGCTGTACTTGCTCTGCCAGAAGCAGGAGCCGTTCCTGCTTGCTGGCGCGGGCGGACCGGGCGGCATGGGCTCCGGCTCTGGCATGGGCTCTGGCTCCGGCATGGGCTCTGGCTCCGGCCCTGGCTCAGGCTTCGGCTCGGGCTCTGGCTCCGGCCCCGGCTCCGGCACTGGCTCCGGCCCCGGCTCTGGCTCTGGCTTCGGCTCGGGCTCAGGCTTCGGCTCGGGCTCGGCCCGGCCCGGCTCCGGCACTGGCTCCGGCCCCGGCTCTGGCTCTGGCTTGGCTCGGGCTCTGGCTCCGGCCCCGGCTCTGGCCCTGGCTCCGGCTCCGGCTCCGGCACTGGCTCCGGCCCCGGCTCTGGCTCTGGCTTCGGCTCCGGCACTGGCTCCGGCCCCGGCTCTGGCTCTGGCTCTGGCTCTGGCTCTGGCTCTGGCCCCGGCTCTGGCTCAGGCTCTGGCTTCGGCTCAGGCTCCGGGTCTGTCAGGCGGCTGCAGCCGACTGGTGGCTCTGGCTTCGGCTCGGGCTCCGGCATGGGCGGCTCCGGCATGGGCGGCTCCGGCATGGGCGGCTCCGGCATGGGCGGCTCCGGCATGGGCCCGGGCATGAACCCGGGCATGAACCAGGACCAGTACCTGTCATGCCGCTGCCGGGATGTTTGCGGCATCCACGTGATTCGCCCCGAGCCCAACGCCACGGTGTCGGCGCCTCCCCTCGAGGACACCATCATTCCCCCCCCTCCGACGTGCCAGCCGAGGCCTCCGAAGTGGTGGGTGCAGTCGATGTGCCTGGACTTCGACAAACCGTCCGTGCTGCGGATCGAGTTCACCGGCGACTCGAGCTCCCTTGGATCCGGCTCTGGCATGGGCTCCGGGTCTGGCATGGGCTCCGGGTCTGGCATGGGCTCCGGCTCGGGCTCTGGCATGGGCTCCGGCATGGGCTCCGGATCTGGCATGGGCTCGGGCTCTGGCATGGGCTCCGGATCTGGCTCCGGCTCCGGCCCCGGCTCTGGCTCTGGCTCCGGCTCCGGCTCCGGCTCCGGCTCCGGCTCCGGCTCCGGCTCCGGCTCCGGCTCCGGCTCCGGCTCCGGCTCCGGCTCCGGCTCTGGCTTCGGCTCGGGCTCCGGCTCCGGCTCCGGCTCCGGCTCGGGCTCCGGCTCTGGCTCTGGCCCCGGCTCTGGCTCCGGCTCCGGCTCCGGCTCGAGCTCGCGCCGCCGCTCGCTGCTGGACGGCCACATGGGCCTGACCGCGACGATCCCCGGCCAGGACCTCAGGATCTCGCTGGCATTCCCTGCCCTGGGCAACCCCACTTGCTCTTGCGACGACAACGGCCAGGTTACCATGCGGATGATCGACGTCGAGAAGTGCGACCCGGTCCAGGTCAAGGTGGAGGATGGGGCGTTCGAGTCGATCGAGCTCTCCTGCAACTCGACGGACACGCAGGGCGTGACGACCACGTCGGCCTGCCAGTGCGCCACCGACATGATGTGCGCCGTGGTGTGGGGCGCGGGGTCGGAGGACGTGTTCGGCGACTCCGGCGTGTTCTTCCCGGAGCCCTCCGAGCAGGAGCAGGCCGCGGATGTCGTCAAGAACGCCTGCGACGGCGACTTCCGCGGGGTCCTGATCGCGGAGCAGACGGACATCTTCTCGCTGGCGGACGACTCGGGCTTCGGCGGCCTCTTCGGTGGCCCCGGGGGTGGCTTCGGTGGCCCCGGCGGCCCTGGGCCTGGTGGGTTCAAGCGCAGGCTGATGCAGGACGCGCCGCTGCCGCCC